TTTAAATCACAACACCCCTTCTTCGTGTCGGCCCAGGCTTTAAGCAATACCTTCACCCACGGATCAACTTCCAGGAAATTTGTCCCCTCTACCAGCCCCCATCCACCCGTTTGTATAACCCACAACAAGAGAGAAACGCTCAACAACCATCCCCCTTCAGGAGACACATTCCCTTTTTCCCTACAAATGGGTTTTTTCCCCCCCCCCCTCCCTTACCTCCCCCACGGGGAGGAAGCGCTTGTAATGATTTCTCTTGTGATTATCGTCACCGAGGAGTCTTAAAAGGAGTCTTATTCAGCGAATGGGGCTTATATCCTTACAAATGAGGAGGATGCTACAAAATGTTTTTATTCTGTCAATCCAACAACGAAACAACATTCAGGGCTGTAAGCGCAAGACCTGGCCGAAGAACTGGAGAAATCCAATGGGGTCGGTGGGATTATAGATCGACAGAAATGATAGTTGCCGGGGATCGTTGCAATCGTTTGCCATGCTGAAGTTCTCAAACTCAACCACGAGGCGATTGTGTGGCAAATAATATTACCAGATTCTTTGGCAGGCGTCTGTCATAACGCTCGACCTTATTGGCTGCGTTATATCAGGACAAGTTATTTTCGCGCTACCGCAGAATACATATGTGCTCTATCTGAACAAAAACAAAAGCAAAAGCTATATTTGCGGATTCTTAACATAATCCGAATTACAAATTAGAGTAAGTTAAAATCAATTATTTTACCCGTGCTTAAACAAAGGTAAAATGGGGTAGAAATGAACAATCTCAAAGCAGTGTAGTTACTAAAGCGAAAAAAATTGTCAAAAATATTGCTGAGAAAATAAGAAATCAATAGTGGCTTAAGTCATGAATAAACATTTAATTTGCGTCAGAAATGTCAATGTTGTATCTGAATGTATCGATGAATTCACTATAACCGATGTCAAACGGTTATCGTGAAGTACACTGTACAATCATTTTACATTTAGATCTTGCTTAAAGACAATGTTAGAAAAATGTCACGTTATTGGTAGTACCCCTGACAATAAAACATTTCAGCATTGATCATTTACAGATATAAGAAGAACTAAAAAGCATACACTAAATATTTTTTGCACTGGTACAAATATGACCACTGGGGTCAGTAATACCCCATAAATTTTGCATTTTCAGTGCAAGTGGTTATGTAAGGCACTCTTTTGCATGTTTTGCACTTAACATAGCAGCACCAATGAAACTTGCAATTGCATCTATATTCCTCGACTTCGTACGCTACCGTTTTATATTTCAGTTTGCAAGAGTTGCACTTATCGATGAAAGACTGACATCTGGTTTCTTGGGCGTCGTAATGCTTGCATGTTCTTCCCAGCATTCCCAGTGTGCCCAGGGTGTCGTTTGGTACACAGTAGTCTGGGGAGGGGTCGAGATAGACCAGGCTGTTGTCGTCACGTGAGATGGCTCTGAACTGATCATGCTCATCTCGCTCCTGAAGTGTGTTATTCACGAACCACACTCGAGTGGCATTAAGGTATTTCTCCTTAAGCTTTGCCCCAACGACTTCAAATCGCAGTATCCCCGGACGTTTCCACTTAAGATTCATGCGGCCTGCAAGCGCTCGAATAACCTGCACATAGAAAGAAGTGTAAGAAATGAACGCCGAAAGGTAAAGTAAGGTAAAGTCCGCGTTGTTCAAGCCAAGTGCCTCATTAAATAGGATAAGATGCTGCCAATGATGAAAGCAATTCTTTTAAAGAAATTGTAAGTATAATATTCCTTATCAAAAGTTTGGTCGATGTAGACCAAGCATCTACCTAAACTTGATGTTACACTGGACGATTCGCGTCGACGATTTGTTGGAACAATGTTCTAAACATTCTTCGAAACTTCGAAACAATGTTGCAACGCCGCGTTGCGCTAAAAATCATCGTTGCGAATCGTCTCGTGTAACATCACCTTAACACATGGGTTAAACACATATAAAAAGACGTTTTGGTGTTGCAGTAGAGCTATCATAAAAATGCGCAAAAGGTTAATTCGATAAATCAGAAGATACCTTTAGGAAGCGAAACTAACGAGCAACTATTTGAGCAACACATACGTACGCAAAACCGTATTTCACCCGGTCCAGCGAATCAAATGAATTAAACCTGGATAAGCTATGCAAGCTCGTACCACTGCTAAATATGGACAGCAGGAAACTATGCTACTCTGTGGTATAATCCGTTGTGATAATACAGCGTGTACTCAAGAATTTTATTGAATTATGCGTTTTCATAACGCAACATTATTCATGCATAATTACCTCCCTTCCTACTCTATTGTTATGCCGATTCACAGCCGAGTGAGCCTCGTTCCCACTTTCCAGCTTGTCAAGGAAGAGTCGAGCCCTTTTCTGGCCAAATTCAACTGTATCCTTACACTGTGAATTTCTTCTGAATAATTTAATTTTTTCACAGTTGCGTGCGAATTCGAGAGCGATAGCAGCGGATCCAATTGCCTGCACAAATGCCATCTCTCGCGTGACTGTAATAAGAGAACAGTGAATTCATTGTTAAGGAAACGCTTATGTCTATACCGAGTGGGAAGGATTCTCAACATTGGTTTCACTACACGGCTTTCTATGCGGGAGGTTCCTTGTTCGATTCCCAAGTGTCACCCTTAAATCTTGTTCGGACATTCCTACTTTCCGAGTACCTTTTATAGTCAGGTTAATTAATTTCGGGATTTCGGCAAGACAATATTTCGCGGGTTTTTATTTCCACACGGATTTCAATAGGATAATATGAAGAGGGCATTAAATTCCGCGATTCAAGGGTTCTCAAAATGATTTTAGTTTTCAATCTTCTGGACTTTTAAAAATATCGAAACAAAATGAAACAAGCAAGACGCATATTGACGACATGTCACAACAGAAGACATAGTTAGGGAATGGAACGTACCAGTAAAACCAGCTCATAACTTGTCGGTATTTGTCGACACATATATCATGTAAAGTGTATCTTGTAGTTATTGAATTTATGGTAATTTTTTATTTTTTTTTTTCTTTCTGTGATTTGAGCTTTCGCGACGAGTTTTTGTTCGCGGGTCTTTAAATTCGCGATTTTCCACAATCGCGAAAAACGCTAAATTAAAGACCCGCGAAATTAAGTATCAATAAGGT